AACCCCAGCTTTCTAAGTGCGACACTGGGAACAAAAAATGCTGCACACCTGGATCAGCAGCACACAGTTCTAGCAACGCCAGGCAGGGAGCTGAATTCAGATGGCCTCCAGTGTAGTGCTTAACTAATTTGGTCTCAGAATTTCCCACTTATGGATTTAAAAATGCGTTGAAGCCAATTTACAGACTCCCTGTGACCAGGTAACATGACTGAATCCAGGGCCCTTGGTCTGGACAGCCAACAAACCTGATGCCAGAGCCTGACTGTGGGGGCTGCAGCGAGCCTGCATCGGGAGCAGCCTCCCAAGTGCAGTTGGGACTGAGACAGGCTGAGAAAAGCTGGTTGGCTGTGGACCCTACACTGTGAATAGTTAGGGGAATGCTGCTTTCCACAGGCAGAGCAGACCTGCTCACCCTAGAGCCTATAGCGGGATATGGTATGCAAGGAGACTGAACTGAAGGCCCACATCCGAGAAGGGCGCCCTGGAAGGCCAGGCTCACCGGGCAACCTCTGCAAGGACCTCACAGCACAGCAAGGCACTATGTGGCCTCTTCACTGGTGTGGACTTCCTTTTTGAATTCTTGCGAGAAGCCCAAAACATTGTCACTAGCATCTCTCCCAGTCTCTTGAGAGATGGGGACACCAAGAAAGCACGTGAGAAGCTCTGGAGGCCTCAGCAGGCTCTGAGGTAAACTGGAGGGCAGGCCCCTCCGCACCCCGAGACTCCATTGCTGCGGTTTTACCCTGGAAACTCACGAGGCCTGATCCCTTACGCACACAGCAGCTGGCTGAGTGGCGCAGATTGAAATGTTATTGGAGATGTGAGGAAGCCACGGAGAAGGGTGGCTGAGCTGCATCCGCAGCCCTTCTCTTGAATTCTGGGCCCAGGGCTGGGAGCATGGAGTGACCTGAGCGTGACCTCCTGAGTTGGTGCCCACGTGCAGTCACCAACTCCTTGTTCCCCACAAGCATGTCAGGGCTCCTCAGCGCAGCCAGACAACGGTGCCCAGGCCAACTCGCGGGCTCCTCTCAGCTTGTCCTCGCCTGGCCTGAAGTAGCCCCAGCAGCCCACCACCACCCCACCTCTGCAGCAGCTCTGCTACTGAGAAAACAAATGGAAGCCTTCCAAGCTGTGGACAGGACTAAGGTCCGGAGCACTGCTGCCTTCTGAAGGTTAGCTGCCTGGCAGCGGGCCTGCCCGGCCACCTGTGCCCCTGACAGCCCACGCACTCACCCTGCCCAGGGCCCCAGCCCCTCAGAATTCTCCTGTGCAGGAAACTTGTAAATTTGACTGCCTGGGGCTTCTTCACAGCCCCAAGCCGAGCAATTAGCGCCACCTAAATTTCCTTTCAGCACTTAGGGAGTTAGAGGACTTCTTTGTTTCCCTGGCAGGTGGTGAGTTTGGCCTTTAGCCTGGGCCCCCACACCCCCTGGGCGTGGGGCTATCTCTCATAATTACATCCTGTGGGAAGCTGCTGCCTATGCCACCCCTCATCAAAGCTCAGGGAGAACATTACACCAGCAACAAAGAATGACATTACACCAGCAACAAAGAATGACGATTAGGCTGCCGGGTCTCCACGTGGCTCAGTTTTTAACTCTCAGGGCTGCTGGATTTTCAGACCTTTCAGTCTGGGCAGCTTAGGCAGTTTGGTTAGGGAGGGAGATCTCCTCAGCAGGGCTGTGGGTTTTGTCTCTGCAGGACTTTCAGGGACTGGATCCCTACTGGAGGTGTGGCTCCAAGTGCTGTCTACAGTGCTGCAGTTCCTGTGGCTTTGGACGAAGACCAGAAGTCCAAGCACACGGGCGCAGGAGGACAGCAAGGCCCACAGCCCTCCTTGAGGGCGCACCTGCAGAGGGTGCAGGCCCCGCTGTGCAGCAGGGTAGGGCACTTGTTAGTCCTGTGAATTTGCAAACACAACTTTTTTCCCACTGAGACTTGCAATGTTAGCCTGTTATCAGGAGTGATAACAGAACTAACTTTGGTAAGAGTTTGTGAAATTCCAAGGAAGCAACCCAGGTGGTGTGTAGAGCAGCCAGCAGCGGAAAGAACTCTAATGGGTTCACTATTAGTTTAATGTCTGAACTATCCCCAGGTCCCATTTCATGAGATGCTTGGTGACATTGGGAGCAAACTACTCTTAACTAACACATCCTTTAGTTCCGCCAAGTTAATCTGGTCGAGCAGAAACAATGAGTTCAGTGTGACAGTGACTATCTGTGTATGTTTAAGAAAATCATGAACATTCTCTTTTCTTAGTGCCTACTAACATAAAGCCACATAGCAGGCCAGTTTTAGTGCATGGAAAAAATAACACTATTTATGATGCAATTCTATTGCAAAAATCTAATGAGAAATGGATTTTTACCACTAGCAGGACAATTACACAGATTTAGTTATAAAGAAAACTCAAGGGCATTTTCTTGATGTATACACAGAACCCAGAGAAAACAAGCACTTTTAACATTTTGCACTATTAATTTTGAGTGGCTCAATAGGAAAATTTGTCAGGTGAGTAAAATCTGAACTAGCACGATAGTCCACAAAGCGGCTCAGAGCACGACTCCTGATGCCGTTCACAAACTCCTTCAGCTCTTATATTCAAATGCCTGTTTTGAGTCACAGACATTACATGACAAAGCGCAAGGCGCTGCGTTCTGCTCAGCGTTCGCTGTGATTACCTCCTTGTGGAGCCCCAGGTCAATGTAGCCACACGTGGGGTGAAAGGCTCCCGTTCCGCACACGTAGAGGTGCGTCCTGTTGTAGGGCTGAAGCACCCTGATGAAATTCGCACATTCCATCTGTAGGACACAAGAAGCAACGATGAGCACATGCCTCGGGCCGTGGAAGGCTGGGGGCTCATGCTATCAGATTCTCAAGTAGGCAAATAAAGCTACAAAAAATGAAGAGGAGCTTTGAGACTAGACTACACACCCGACTTCGCCAAACGCCAGGACACCTACAGAAATGCCGCTCTGAGTGCTGATGCTCAAGGTCTGACAGACCACAGGGGCTGGAGCTCGTGTGTGGTGGTCAGACTGACCCGGCACCGTCCCCACAGGGAGAGTGAGTGACCGCTCCCCAGCAGGCCTGGGGGGCAGTGCCGCTGTGCTGTGGTCCCCCACGATCTCCCCACACAGCCCCTGCACCAATGTGCAGCCTGCGGCCGTGCCCCTTCTTGCTGATAGCAGTGTCCTCCTTGGGTTTCTACTGAGCATCAGACGCTCCAGGGCCTTTATGGAAAAAGGGCTTCCTGCTGACTGGAAGAGTCTGCTCTGCTCTTGTCCTGGACTTCTTCCTGTAATCCGCACAGTGGGGGCAGGCGCTTGCACATCTTCCTCCTGTGCATGACTTCTTTACAAGGTCATTATCTTTAGAAGGTCCTTGTTTTCCATCCCCACTCTAGACAGCAGCTGTCCTTGGAAGCACTTGCTCTCAGAGCTGCCGGTCAGGTGCAGTTCACCCGCTGTGACAGATTCTGCATCTTCACCTTTGTTGACTCAACTCCGTGCTGTTCTGAATGTTACCAGATGAATCAAAGCCAAAGAACACTGAACAACGACCCCTTATCCTGGTCCCAAATTAGAAAATATTGATATCTCAGCAGCCACACTGATTTTAAGGTCAACAGCTATCTGCAGATCTTCCAGAGATCTGGTTCTTAGCTCAATCCCCCCTGCTGACCTGCAATTACACACCTAAGCGTTTGTAGACCTAATCAGTACTTGGGGTCCCATCGGAGCACAGTAGCACAGTGCTCCTTCGTGTCTTGTCCTCTGCCCCCTTAGTAGGGCGGTTCCCTGTCTAGGGATCATACAATGCCTGTCTGCTCCCCGGTGGCCCACAGCAAGGTCCCCTTTCCAGAAGGGAAGTTGTAGGGTCCTGTGGACAGATGCCCAGGTCACTCCTGCACCACAAAAGGCCTCACTCCAGTCCCCAGGGCTGTGTCCCACCAATATCACAGTCCAAGGTGTGTGACTTGTATTCTGGATGTATTCATGCCTTTGTATGTTCAGATATGTCTTCATATGTTTGTTATATGTAGACTCTCAAGAAAGAAAACTAAACAGTCAGCTTTCTGCTAAATCACCCAGCTTGACCAAAGCAGCCTTCCTGGGTATCATCCCCTGCTGGTATCACCTTCAGGGCAGCAGTGGGGAACACCCCCTCCTGAAGTGAGATCCGCATGTTGGCAGTGGGCCGCACCGAGGGCAGGGGTAGCTGGGTGACACTGCTGGGTGCCACATTTGGCAGCTGGGAGGAGAAAGCTGGTGGCAGGAAGCTGCAGGGCCACATAGCTGAGACCCCAGGGCTCAGCCACTCCTCTTCCCACAGAGACTGGCAGCAGGCAGCAGCACCAGTAGCAGGAGGGGCAGGCAGGGCAGCCCCACAGCAGGTGGCCACTCCACCGCCACAGGGTCACTTCAAACTTCTAAAGTGCAGTTTTACCAAATAGCCACTGATTTTACAGGGTTATTAATAAACTCCCACATTGTATCTTATGAAATCAGAAAAGTGCATCTTTGAGTGGCAATATTGTGTTAGAAGGCAAATAAGGCCAGCCAGGAAGTCTTAGTTTGGTTTTAAGACAAGGTCTGGCTATGCAGCTCAGGCTGGCCTTAAACACACTGTGTAGCCCAGACTGGCCTTGAACTCGTAGTGATCCTCCTGCATCAGCCTCCGAAATGCAACACCACTTAGCTTGCCCAGAACTACTTGGCCAAGCATAGCCAGCCCTACAGCCTGACCTGGGCTCAGGTCCCGGCCCTGGGCTTGATCTCCCAAAGCCCGTCCTTCCCCATGTGGGCTGGCCGAGAGTAGGACAAAGCACGGCGGGCCTTGAGTCCTCTGGCGCAGAAAGCCAGGTGGGTCAGCGCTGCTCAGGGAGCGTTGGGGGAGGCGGACAGGCCTGCGGCAGGCAGGGCGGGATAGCACCCGTCACGCTAGCTTGCTGTGGCCCAGAGCAGAAGTTTCCACAGAACAACCTACTACACGATGGTACAATGACTTCCCTTTTAATTGAGGACCTCGTTATTGTAATTCTCAAAGCATAGGTGCAGTTTTCTCTGTGTCCACAAAGTTTCCTAGTTTCTCTTAAACACCCTGATGAATAATTAACCTGGCACTTTTCCCTTAGTGAGTAGCCTGCCGGCTAATGGTAAGCAGTGCTCTCAGGCCTGCAAAACAAGCGCAAAAGCGGCTTTTGCGCTTCCCTGCAAGGCGGCGGATTTCTCGGTCATTTCTCGCACAAACCAGAAGACAAGGCGCGGGAGGCGCTTCCCTTCAGCCCCTACTCTTCCTACGAGGCAGGGCGGGAGGCCACCAAACCACAGCTCCAGCCTTTTATTTCTCTTAAGTCATAGAACTTTGGTAATTTAATGCATATCCATCCACATACGAATAAATAGTTAAAGGAAGCTGAAGTAATATTTGGGGAAAAAGTATCTGTCAGTGTACGCAGGCTCCCCCAGAATTTCAGCTGCTCCCCAGGTCGCTGGAGTGAGGCCGGCCCAGCAGCCAGGCGTGTGGAGCTCAGGTTCGCAGAGACCCCTGAGAGCGCAGTTAGAGCTGCTGATGCGAGGCATGCAGGCTGGTGAGAGGCAGCCCTTACGAGGCCTGGCGTCTGTAGCTCCTCTTTCGTGGCCCTGAAGCTGGTGTGCTCGGCACGTGGCACCACTGAGCCACGCCCTGTGCCCCCTGAGATCTGTTCTTGTTTTCAGTATGTTTTTGCAAAATTTGTGATAATCATCGAACCTTTCTGATTAATCACCAGATGCAGTTTTTCAGGAGGAATCCTGCACGGAGAATAGTTACTTCAGCCTTAGGATGTCTACCACGATTTAATAAATGGCTAGCAATTCAAAATAAATGTATAGAAATCTAATTGTCACCTTTATCTTAAAAAGGACAATCTAGCCCGGTGTGCTGGCACATGTCTGCAATCCCAGCGCTCAGGAGGCTGAGACAGGAAGGTCACTGTGTGTCCAAGGCCGGCCTGGGCTACATAGTGAAACTCTGCCACAAAAGGCAAAAACCTAAAGGTCACACACAAGAGGATGATCTAAGAGTACAGAATTCTACAGCACAGTAACAGGTTGTACTAGTAAAAGTGCAAAGGAAAACATCTTAAAGAAAAAAATCTGGGCTGGGGAGATGGCTCAGTAGAATAAGCGCTTGCCTGGCAAGCGCAAGGATCTGAGTTCAATCCCCAGTTCCGGAAAAAAACAAAACAAAACAAAAAAAAAACCCTTAAGAGCCACTCTTATTTAAATAATTTAAAGTCTGTATGTAAAGTAGGGAAACTAACGTGGAATGCCTTAATCATTTTTGTAACAGCAAAATGATACATTACATCAGTATACACATACAACTCGACATAAAGCATACAAGTGTATGTGTACGTTTTATAAATCTGCAGGTAGGCAAAAAGGACAAGCAAGTACCAGATTAAGCATAAATCAAGTGCAGCGACACACAATTCCAAGGCCACCTGCAATTGTACACAATATTTAGTATTTATAGGGAAGGAATTTCTAGATGGACAACAAAAATATTTTTTCACTTTTTGGCAAAGATTAAATTCTTCTATTCACTGCTCCACATTCATAATGAGTAAGCTTCGTGTTTTGAGTCCGGCACCAGCAGGGGTCTGGGAAACCCTCCCCTTGCAGGCGCGCACTGCCCGCTAGAAGGTCTGCCGCATTAAGTGCTCGGAGGGCAACTTGGCAACCGTGTGCGAAGGCCGCAGTCCGCCCCCGCAGAAGCTGCCGGTAGGCGCGGCGCTTCCTGCATGCACACTCGAGGCCGCCGAGCGCAGCGTCGCCCGGAGGGAGGCCGCGACAGCCCGGCGAGGGGTGCGCGGCGCACGGAGGAGGGCCGCGCCGGGGCAAGCTGGTCGGCCCAGGGGATTTATCAACGAGGGAAACATTCTCCTAAGAGTCCACTAGGTAAAATAAATGTTCTGGAGGATGACTGTACAAAGGTTTATCCTGAAAAATAGAAGTAGGTAGGGTAGAAGCCACACACCACAGCGTCGCCAGCGCCTCAGAGAGGGGTGGGTGGACACGGAGGGATTTACCAGGGCGTGACTCCGTTTTTCTTTTTTTTTTTTCATAATTTACAAATTTTCTACAGTAATACTGGCTTTTGGACTTCCGTAAAAATGTTACAAGAAAGAAAATAATCGTAGTTTGGTTTTCTGGAGTGTTTTGTTTTGTTTTGTTTTGTTTTTTTTAGCTGAAAACCCCTTTGTGATGTGCCTGCTCCCTGCCCCGAGCCGTCTCTACCAGTCTTGGTGGGGACTGAGGATTTCATCAGTGACTCTGCGGGAGTGACGCTTCCCGTCCCTGAGATGAACTGCAGGGCTCTGTTCCACAAGGGGGGGGGGCACTCCCTGTCTCCTCCAATCAGGAGCTTTCCTTGTCCCAAACATCCATCTTTCGTGGTTGTGTGGTACCTCTTTGCGGAAGGGACAGTCTTCCCAGGCACCTGCTAATCCTAGACACACTGCTGGGAGGCAGGCTGCAATTTTAGGAGGTGGAGGAGACAGCCAAGGCAGGAAGGAGGACGGCCGCGGGCAGCCTGCGCGGCGCTGCTCCAGGTGGGCAGCTGTGGTGGTGCTGGAAGGGCCACGGCTAGGGCCGCCGCCCAAGGCCTCATGCGAGGTGCGGTGCTGGGCAGGAGGGCGCCCTGCGTGCCCAGACCTCCCACTTCAGCTCCCGGCTTCACGCCTCACCGAGGATAAGATGTCAGAAAGCCTTTTAATTTTCTGGCTTCTGTATTTGTCACCCTGAGGACAAACAGTGCTGCTCTGAGAAATAAAAGATATTATGCAAACAAAACAGTTTCTGAAAACGTCAAGGGCTGGGTATCAGCTGTCATCAATAATTCTAAAGCAGAGTGTTATTTTATATTATTTTTTTATTTTTATGTATTTGGCACAGGGTCTCACTTCACAGCTCGAACTCCTAGTGATCCTCGTGTCCCAGCGTTACCAGCGCTGAGATTACAGGTGTGCACCCCCATGCCCCATGGTGGCCGGCTCAGTGTGCCTGGGGGCGGGGCCACCATGGCGTGTGGTGGCAGAGATTGAACCCTGGTCCCTGCACTTGGCTCAACTTGCCTAAGCAAGCACTTTAGTCTGCTGAGCTGTCTCGCTGGTGCTCAGCGCGCTATTTTAAGTGGCAAACTGAAAAGGAAGAGACAAGGACTTGCATCTTCACCACTCAGCATCAAACTTGACGGATTCGGTGAAAGGGGAAGACCTCTGGAGACTCCAGCGTGGGCTGGGAGCCGTGTGTTTATCGCTCGTTCACAAACAGAACGGAATCTCGTAGGTTCCGAGCCGAGTCCAAGCGGCGTATGGTACCGCCACCAGCAAGCACACTTCAGCTGTGGCATTAATGTGGTCCAATGGCCAGGCCGGTTACTGTGTAACTGCGCTGAGTGAATGCACTGAGCAAGGGCCCCGTCTGTCGCAGATTAAACCTTCACCGATTGACCTCTAGTGTTTATCCCTCAGCTACCCGTGGGAAAACTGAAGCTAGCTTTTGCAGTAACATAAAACACCCTTTCCCCACCGGCACCGGTCGCTTCAGCCTACAGTGCCTGTGACACACAGAACACAGAACTATGTGTCCTGGTTGCGCCACGCTCCTACTGTTCACTGGACAACATGACGTTGGACACTCATCAGCAAAGCCTCACACATTCCGCGAAGACTCTGCGCCTTTGTAGAGCTGCCCCCGGCTCAGGGTCGAGACTTAATCACAGGATGAGGTTGTCAGAGTCACAGGAAGCAGAACGATCTGCTCCCAGAGAGCTCAATCAGCTCTTTATCAGCGGGAGGCAGGGCAGACGTTCTCTCATTGCAGTGGACGTGGACTCTCCCTGTAGGCTGCTGCAAGCGTGAATGGCGCTGCACATTTCTTGCTAATGGGATGCAACCACAGGCTTCTGCTGCATGGGTCTGAGCATTCTGTCTACTCGAATGCTGCCGGCGGAGCTTGTGAGGAGCTTTTCTGTTACATCCCACGTAGACCATGAAGACAGGTGCCACATCTGTCACACACACACACCTGTGCCAGAGTGAAGCTGTTTAAAATATTTTTGGATAACTAAACAAATAGCGAGTAGAATAATGAGCACCAGATTCCTGTTGCTTTGACTTGCCTGTTCCCCGATGAAGCACCATTTGCCACAGTCTGGTCCTCCCTCGTTAGTAACTGTGATGAGATTGTCCTTTCACATACAGCTAATGTCTAAGTGTGAATCCATGCCCCAACCCAATACCCCATGCTGCCGTGGATTCAAGCCCTCGAGGATGCTGCAATCCGCCCCAGGGTGTCCCTTGCCTGCCCACACAGAGCCTGCCAGACCTCAGCATCAGGGCTGCATGGAGCTCAGAGCTCAGTGGGAGGACAGCGGGGGTGCAGGGTGCACACTGGCACCCAGGAGCAGCCAGGCAGGGGGCCCAGCCAGGCCCTGTCGTCAGGCCAGGCAGAGGATGCGCTCCAGCTACTCGTGGGAAGAGACCCTCCTGATCTCTCCAGTGTCAGGTCGATTTAGGGGCAAGTTTTTTCTAGGTCTGTAATTCATTCTCAACAATTCTTGCTATTTCTGTCATGTCACCATATAAGGGATCTCTCCCAAGGCCAGGGTGTGGCTCAGAGGTCGAGGCCTGAGGCCCTTGGTTCAATTCCAAGCAGGTGCGCATGTGCACACACACACACACACACACACACACACACATAAACACAGTCTTCCATGTGTTCTAAATCTGAAATTACACATCAACTGTGTGCTTGGGAGAGTTTTGTGTACTCTTACAAGGCACATGTACATAATGAAAAACACCACCCAAATGCTCTACTTCCTGATGGTGTGCTTTAAACATTTTAACATGTTTCTCTTTTGTAAATAATAATATTCAGAATTAGTACAGTAGCAATCAGTTTTGTTTAAATTTCTAGATTCTGAGGAATACTGTCAGTGCTTCTGCCAATGCAGAAATGCACAAGCCATACTAAGTTTACAGCCTCTTAGCCTCACAAGTAACACACTGATGCCATCAGTTCCATAAAAGGGGGGATGAGTGGCTTCTTCCGACAGTCTCAGCGCGGCTGACCAAGTGCAGTTCTGAAGGTTCATACTTACATTGGCGTCTTTCCCAGCTAATTTACATAATTCCACTCGTTCTTTCGCAGCAGGCCAATGGATCTGTAAAATATTGCGAAGCACATTAGGATATGAATTCTGCAGCACCCCGACACTGCAGCCTGCCCAGAGAAGGGGCTGGAGCACACCAAGGAGCACACACAGGTCTTGTCCAGGTCCTGTGAGAACCCTCAGATTTATATATTTTCCAAAGCTGGCCTAAAAAGTTTCTAAACAAAAGAATGCTTAGCCAGCCCCACCCCTGGGGTGCGCTGAGACGGCAATTGAGACTGGGCATGGTGGCACACGCCTAATCCCAGCTCATGAGAGGCTGTAAACAGGTGGATCACTAGGAGTCAGATCTAGTTGTGACACCCTGAACACCCTGTAGACTCGAAGGAAGAAGGAGAAGGAGGAAGGAGGAGGAAGGAGGAAGGAAGAGGAAGGAGGAAGGAGGAGGAAAGAGGAAGGAGGAGGAAGGAGGAAGGAGGAGGAAGGAAGAAGGAAGAGGGAAGAGGGAAGAGGGAAGAGGGAAGAGGGAAGAAGGAAGAAGGAAGAGGAGGAGGAGGAAGAGGAGAAGAAGAAGAAGAAGAAGAAGAAGAAGAAGAAGAAGAAGAAGAAGAAGAAGAAGAAGAAGAAGA